GTTGAAGGGGAGCTGAAGGGTGAGTGGGAGTCAAATATGCAAGATCTCACCGCCAGCTCGACAAGAAGGTGTTCATTCCAGATCGCGCATGAGACAATCGAAGAGTTATCACGTCAAAAACACGATCAAGAGAATGTGATCAAGAAGTGAGTTGACAGCATTTAGGGGGTTACAAGGCTTCTGTCAACCAAAGGGTGAGAGCGTAGCTGGAAGAGCACACACTTTGTGTTTTAGGCCGATGTCAGACTTTGCGAATCGCGCGATTCGCTACTAGCGAATCGCGCGATTCGCAAAGTCTGACATCGGCCTAAAACACAAAGTGTGTGCTCTTCTAGCTACGCTCTCACCCTTTGGTTGACAGAAGCCTTGTAACCCCCTAAATGCTGTCAACTCACTTCTTGATCACATTCTCTTGATCGTGTTTTTGACGTGATAACTCTTCGATTGTCTCATGCGCGATCTGGAATGAACACTTTTCTGTCGAGCTGGCGGTGAGATCTTGCATATTTGACTCCCACTCACCTTCAGCTCCCCTTCAACCTTTCGCTTCTGTTTCTCGACATCTTGACGACTGCGTTTCTCACGTTCTAACGTGTCTTCGATCTCGTCCAACGTTGTTTCGAGCTTTGCCTTGATCTTGTTAACGTGATTTATCTTGTCTTCTTGTGCTTGCATGTCATCCAAAAGTTTGCGATTGACCTGGAAATTTGAAATCTCCATAATCTACTGGGTTATTTATTCAGTTCACAAAACATCAAATCAGGGCCTTTATCAGGACGAAACTTCAAAGACAACATTTGGAAACAAAGGAGCAGGAGGGTGACACTAGGACCAAGCCTAAGGGAGGGGAGGAGGCCAGATAGAACAAAAATTGCTGACATGCTCTCCCAGAATCAATCTGCCTCCCTAAAGCTTAGCCTAGGTAGCAAGTGACTCACTCACTTGATGTTACCCCCACTGCCTCCCCCAGGTCATGAGCGCACCAGTGTACTCCGTTCTCCACGGCTGAGCCTGTCGTAGCTGCAGACTCTGAATCTGCATTGGTGTAGTCTCAAAAAATGTATAACGGGAGCTATTTTCATGCTTTTGACGCCAACTGTGTTGGCTTGTGTGCAATTACGGCAGAGTCGGCAGGAGGAAACATGGCGTAGTTGTAGGAGATTTATAATTGGTGCTTAGGCTAGTAAATACATCTATTCATGAAATGACATCGATTTGTCGACTTATTTTGATCACAAAAAGTTGATAACAAAACGCCCTCAGCTGTCGCTTAGAAATTCACTGGAATCGTTCCAATTATGGGAAATTCAGGACTAATAAGACTCAATGAGATATCGATTGGAGGCATTCTCGCTGCGTCAAGATTTCGGCCCATTACTTCGCCTAACCTTTAACATTTTGAGATTCATTTTCAATTAAGCCTAATATTCATTGCTAATTCACTTCATAATGGAATTTGAAGTAGATCAATTTGACATCACCCACCTCTTCTTGATATTTCTTCTCCTTGTTGATTTTTGAAATGATTTCATCTTGGGACGCGATCTCATCCTGCAAATTACTCTATTTCCTCTTTTCTCCCCTTTTTGTAACGGGCTCACCTGTAAGCTGCGAATCTGATGATCTTTGCTCTGTTTCTCTCCTTCCTGTTTCTTGATCGTCGTTTCAAGATCAGACACCGTCTTCTTCAGCAGGTCATTGTCTTGTTCGACCTGCATAGCTTCTTTTTGATTTTTTTGTATTTCATATTTCGTAACCAAAAGAAGGCTCTGAGCGAAAGCTTCCTTTCAGTGCATCAAGTTTCGAAGCCATTTATCTAATAGATTTGCAGAACAAAACCATGATTTCCCACCTTCTTTTTGGCCTTGCTGAGCGCCGCGTTTCGGTCCTCCTGATCGGCCAGCTGATCGTTGAGATCGGCGTTCTACAAGAAAATCAGTCAAGACTTTACTAGTCGATGAAATAGCGTTGAAGTTGAGTAGTGTAACAGGGTATAGTGGCAGTCGAGTTGATAGGCCAGCTATATGCGAGAACTACTCTGATTGGTGGGTTGGCTCTGTTACCGTAACATGCCCGCTTACCCGCAGGTACACCAGATATGCTCTCTGCGTCCAAGGGCAAACCTTAACCAGGACCAGGATCGTGTTCACCAATTTTGGGAAAAGGGATCGTATTTGACGAGATGAGATCATGTTTTTATCGAAGACATAGGATGGAAAAATTCCTCAACAAAATTCCCACTTGGCGCTCTTTAAGGATTTCAGTGAAGAGTTGGAAGCGTGCCAATGAATATAAGATCCGAGGCACTCCTCACATCAATCATTGAAGTGAGTGGGGGGGGGGGGGGTGAATGGTCCTCTGTGCGTGAACTGAGTGCAGTTTGGACACCATTCCGCAATATCATTGATCTACTTAATCAAGTGCCTGTCTATAGATGCAATACGCCCACTACTAACAAAATTCTTCCAGATAAATGGAAAAAATAAGGGTTACAAGGCTTCTGTCAACCAAAGGGTGAGAGCGTAGCTGGAAAAGCACACACTTTGTGTCTTATTGGGACTAAGCCTTTTGAAGAAGATAAAGAAAGAGGAGATGCTGTGATAGTGTGCACTTGTGAGAGCTCCCAGACATCACTACAAAACGCTGAACCGCCAAGGCTCACGGTTGACAGATGTTCTGAGACCCAGAAATAAGAGCTTGATACTTTTCCCAGTAGTTCCAGTATGTGACAGCATTATCACCGCTAATATTTCATAACATGATGATAGTGCAAGGTCGTGAGACGGTGTAGCATGTGGCGAGTTTTCAGGAGTAGCCGAGGATGGAGACGACGGGATGGGAGGGAGAGAAAGGAGGTGGAACTTATTTCACTTCGCTATTCACATAGGATAGCAGACCGAATGCTAAAGTCGAAGGACAAGCCGGGGCTCGGTTATGTAGTCGGCAAGTCCCGATATCGAAAAGAGACTTTAGAGTTCACTTGAAGAGTCAGAAAAAATGACCGGCTATGTTATCAACATGAATACTGGTACGTGAGCGTAATGATACCTGTTTCTCGATATCAGCCTTTGAGCGAGCAACTTTGCACTGCGTTCTTCTAGCTCAGAGCTTTCATCCCGCTCTTGCTCAAGTTGCAGAAGCACGGCCTGTTTTTCTGCCTAAGAAGAGAAAATTTCCGTGAATTCCATCGAGTCATTCTAGGCAAACATTTCTGATAATCTCAACCTACCAGGAGGCGTGCATTCTCCGCTTCCAGTTCTTTACGCTTGCGCTCTTCGGCCTGGTGACTTTCTTCAAATTCTTTAGCTCAGAAACGGTCAAGCTCGTTTTGACATAGAATTCGGATATTTCACTCACGCTTCGCCAACATTTCCATCTCCTCGTCCTTCTTGTTGCCTTTGATGAGCGGTTTCACTTGACCGTACAGCTTGAACCAATGCCAGGTACGAAGCGTACACCATGCACGCACATTACGCTGCACGACAATGAACCCAACTCTAGAAAATCGATAGTGAATAAAAATTTCTAAAAATGTGGAACGATTTCCATCACAGGATCGGAATCGGACTTATTCTATCAGTAGTGATTATCAATAGCTCTACTCATGAATCACACTTGACGTAACTCCGTCAATTTTAGGAATAGATGAAAGCGGAACGAGAACTCCAATAGTTTTAGAAGTCCATGTCTTGAGAATTTTCCCTGCGCAAATGATTTCATTGAACGACTTCCCCCCAACGGGAACCTAAGCGTGCCCAACATTTGGACAAGTTGATACCTGCTGGCACATGTTGGTCCCGGGCAGCTTGAAATGGATGGTGTACGAGGTTACCATGTTTGAACTAGTCACCTCATGCTGATTGAAATAAATTCACACGTCTCATGATTCAATCAATAAGTGTATATGTGAGTGGTAGGTACGCGCGTAAAATCAATGCCCATACATAGGTCGTGGCAGAGGCGATCAACCAGGGAAGGCATCCAACCTCCCATGGAACTTTGAATTGAGACCCAGATATATCGATACTTCAAACGCTGATTACAAATATGGAAACTAAAACTGCAAAATGAACCTGCCAAGGAAGTTGTGAGCAGTCAAAGTTGGCTGGAAGGTAAAGCATTACACTAGCCTCCGGGCTTTCAAAGTCGCCGTGGAGTAGTGGTAGTGCTCTCGGAATTTGCACTCCAACGGGAAGAGAACTCATGACCTCCGGCTGGAGAGCGAGAGCACTACCACTACTCCACGGCGACTCTGAAAGCTAGCACGGTTCATATGTTACCCTTTACTTCCAGTCAGCGTTGGCTAAACACAACTTCCTGGGCAGGTTCATGTTGTGTTTAGTTCCATATTGTTACTATTTATTGTTTATTGCTATATTATTTATTTCCATATTCGTAATCAGCGTTTGGAGATTTAGCGATATACACTCTGTTTCATGCAGCCAGAAATCCACGTGGCACACGTGGCTAAATTCTCGATGAAAAGGTGACATCACGTGTGCTCAAAGATGTTCTTGAATCGATGCCACGTTAATGCCACGTCAATTTCTGCAATTGCACAATTTCTGGTCATTTGAAGGCGAGGGTACAGTAGCGGTCAAAAGTTTGGAAACTTTTTTATTTTTGATCTAGCGTAGCCAATAGACAATGAAATTGTCCCGAATTCACATATTATATACAGAATCAAGTGTAGATTACGATGAGCAACATAATTTTTTGAAAACGAGAATCGCATTTGAAAAATACGAATTTTTATAAGAAATGGCGCGTCAAAAGTTTGGAAACTTCTCAATTCCAAAGCGAATTCGGCAAAATAGCTCTCAAATCCACATGATAAATTAGTTATTCGATGAGTAGCTTGAATTTCTATGTTAGCGTCGTTTTTATTGACATGGAGTTGATTATAAAATAATTTTAGGACTTTTAAGTCGAACCCTACACACTGTGAACTAAATCACATTGTTTGGTGGGATTCTTAACTGGAATGTGGGTTGAGCGACATGCCAGTTCTTCCGTGGGATGTAGAACTCAATTAGACTTTAGATCTTGACTTGGTCGCTTCATAACAGCTTCTTTTTCTGGGTTTAGGAAGGCGGCAGTGAGGAGGTAGGCCTGCATTGGGTCATTTCCGCGATAGAAAACCCATCTTTTCCGGCTAGTTCTGACTATCGAAGGGAAGCATTGTATTCTACAGACTATACTTGTACTTAGCCCAACCCACATTTCGCTGGATACATAGAACTGGGGAATCGCCGAATGGTCGGACACATCTTCATCCATGACAATACTTCCACTATTTCTGACTGTTGGAATCTCATACTCAAAATGAGGTTCCCATTTGACAAAACACTTCACAGGGTCCACAACATCATTTTTAGGAAGACAGAAATCCCATTCGTCGCTGAGGACAAAGTTTTACCTCTCGCCTTCGGTCCATGTTAGCCGTTAGTGTGCGGAAGCCAGTTGGGCCATCCTGCTCTTGAAGCCCAACAATGGCTTCTTGTTGGGACATCATCCGTAATATTCACCAGGTCGCGGCCGATGTTGAGCTGCACTTGGACTTTCATATGATTAGGAAAATCAGAAAAAGTCGTCTCTTAGTTGGAAGATGTCGGGGTACGGGACGTGCCAACCACCCTTCGAAGTATTTGAGGAGGGCCAATTTTCTTGTGAGGATACTTTTTTGTGAATGATCATTCTTCTTATGCTTACTCGACTCCAATAACGCTAGAAACATTCGATAATATTGCTTCCGTAGAGACTGAACTACTAAGAAACAATTTCAATTTCGTATTCCGGATTGTAGGGTTTAAAAAAGGACCTCCCATGGAAAAACTGCTTCCTTTGCATATGAATTCATTTTGAAATTACACATTACTCAATGGTTGAACTAAAATTAACAGAAACAAGTAAACATTGAAGAGTAGGAATCATAATGATGAGGGAAACAAAAAGTTTCCAAACTTTTGACGCGCCATTACTTGAAAAAAATCTTATTTCTCAAATATGATTATAGATTTTTGGAAATTATTCTTCCCATCGTATTCTGAACTCGATTTTGTATGTAATATCTAAATTTGGGACAATTTCGTTATGTATCGGCCGCGCTAGATCAAAAATAAAAAAGTTTCCAAACTTTTGACCGCTACTGTATCTTGGGCTTAATTCAAAGTTCCATGGGAAGTTGAATGCTCCCCCTGGTAAGTATAAGTGAAGATTTCTGAGCGCACCATTAACTTAGTTGCATGATAGATTTTAAAATAACTTTTTTTCATGCGAGATTTCGTCGACGAAGCACTTCGAAACAAAATTCCTGTGTGGAGCGTTTTTTTCTCGGCAACTGAGCTACTCGACTACACTAGCACATAGACACTATCCATGAGATATTATATGTGCCACCTTTCAACTGAGCGTCCGAAAAAGGAAGCCGTCACGGCGTGCAGCAACTAAAATCGCTCCGCGGCGACTCAGAGGCACTGGTCCGGGTCAATTTGGTGCGTCATTTTTTTTGAAAATTAGCAAGAAGTGCGATAAGGAACGCCACTCGGGAAAAGCAAAAAGCACCATAGAAAACACTGAAATTTCCCTTTGTGAGGTCGGCCGTGGTATGACGGAGAGACACAGCGCTGCGAGGAGAGGGAAAACGCGAGAGAGAGTATGTCGTACCGAGAAGACGCAAACGCCGCTTATGTCCCGATTGTGGCAGCGCCGGCAGCAAACAGGCAAGGCCCTAGCGCTTTGCCGTACTTTTGTGTCGCGGCTGCTAGGTCTCAGGACCCCTCTTTCCTCTGACCAACTCTTACCACCTAATCCCGAACCGAGGCTTTGAAGGCAGAATTTACGATGAAAAGTTAGCTCATTGGAAATAAGGGTAGAGGTGGTCAGTGGAGCAGGGATGAAGAAGAAACCATTTGAAACGGCCCGAAACCCGAGAAATGGGACCCCTTCCTTGCCCGTTGATTTGCGCATTGATGCGACTCTCATCGCTGTGCCCTCTTCAACACTACTCTCTCTGCTATCTAATCACGTATAGACCTGCGGCGAGTGATTAGATAGTCGGTGGGCGTACCCGCCAACCGCGCCAAGAGTGAGCCATGCTAGATCGCCGAGGTCAAATCTTTCGCTGCCAATTGCGCGTCGGTCAGCACCCTCAGGTCCGCCTCTACATGTGTGTATACCAACATGTGTGTATACCAACTAGGCTACTACCCCCTTCTTCGACCTTCGTTCTTATCGTGAAATCGTCCTCTAAGTTGCCTGCTACTTCAGAAGGAGAAGCTCATTCTCTAAAAAATTATACCCAGTTAATCGTATCGAAGGGCTGATTGAAAATTTTCACGATCCCCTCCTCTTGAAGGGCCACGACACGACCCACCATCTCCCATTCCCAACCTGGCAAAAGGCAAAATTGTCTTGAAATGAGTGTGTAAGCTCAGAAGGTATTGCATACCTTCTGGGCTTACACGCAGACCATGCAAGAAGCCTTAAAGCCTTGGAAAGAATTGGCTACTTTGAATTTAAGTTTTTCGTTATTTTGAGATGAAAGAAAAGATTCATGGAGTTAGGGAATCTCCACCTTCGCCAAGGTGATGGCACGATTTCTATAAATCTCATTTCAGAGCACTTGAGTGGGTTCTTGCATGTTATACAATTTTCGTGAAAACACTGTTATGTCATGGCGAAGACTTTGTTCTTCTCAGTCGAAAACATCTGGAGGGCAATAGAGCAACAGTAAGGACTACGCAATTGTCGTAATGGTCCACCCATACCTTCAGAGTGGAATGTGTTTTCAGGTTGTTAGCAATTTCGGTCGTTGTCTTCACTACTGGTCCGCCGTTAATCACATCTACTTCTTTACCAGGAGGCCCGTCGCGCGGCAAGAAGGCAGAGTCAGCGGACGAGTCGCAGCGCGTGATGTGCGATGTAGGACGTACAATGGTACATTCTATTTAACTTGACGCGAAATCACTACAGTACGCGCTGCGACTCGTCCGCTGACTCTGCCTTGTTGCCGCGCGACGGGCCTCCTGTCGGATACCCCTACTTTCATTTTCGTGAGCGACAACCCATATCTAGGCCGTCGTGTGATGAGCATTCAGTACCTTCACTTCACTGCCGTTCCTTCAAAAAATATCATACCTCTCAAAAATCTCAACTACTTTTCTCTCGGAAGCTGAAAACTCACTTCTGATCGAGTCTTCTCTTGTAATCCCACATTGCCAAATAGTGTCGGCAGGCGCTTTGGAATTTGGTGATGATCTTCGAAAGTTCTTCATCGCGAAGTTCTTCGAGATGAGCCAGCACACCAGATTTGAAGAAAAATCTGCATTGAAGCACATTTAATTAACACGCTTTGTTGTGACTGATCCATTTGAGCAGACCTATCGCGTGTAAATTGAGGTAGGCATTGATTTGTCTTGAGTTTGCGCGCGAAAAATCGATACGCTATCCACAGGTATGTTCCAACCCGAGAGATCCAAGCATGTGCCAAGGCAACATACTATTTGAGCATCAAGAGAGGTCAAAGTGCAGATAGAGCAAATTAAGTGCAAGGCATTTAGAAATCATGTGTTGGCATAGAATTGAGGCGTTTATTCCTACCCCCCCCACCCTTCTTTGAATGATATGAAGAATGGTGATCGAAATCGTTGTCAAATGGACAAGAAGAGGCACACTGTCACGATGACACACTATGTCTCTATAATAAATTGCCAAAAAAGAAGAACTGTACTATATACCTTAAGTTGAGACCGCATTGGTACTCTTCCGGTTTGATCGAGCCATTTGGAAGCGAGCTTGGCCACGATTCCATCACCAGCCTCCTTGTCTGACTTTGCTTTTTTGGCGGCATCAGCAGCAAGTACAGCATATCTGAGAATGATGTTCAATGTCGTGGTTATATCGCCAACAGTACAAAAATCGCTCTCACCTCTGTTTGAAGTCAAGGTACGGCATGCGATTGGGGAATCCTTTACGACAAATACGAATTCCTTCCAGTACACCATTACAAGTCAGCTGATTAAGCACCAAATTCGCTTCAATCACACCTAAATATGATATCTGAATATTGGACTCCTGTGCCCTTAGGGCTAACACTGCTGGCTTGAGATTTTCATTCTGAATGTTTTCAGGGCTGTGGGTATTGCTTGTTCGAAGCCTCGCGATTTTGCATTATCAGCCAGATACGGTCTGCTTGAAAGGAAACATTCTTGGCTAATTGATGTGCAAACGTGCACTCGTTATCACTCATGCGGACCAGCAGAGCACATGCTGTTCATCGTAGCCATAGTGACTGTGGAAGCCTTTCTCGAGCTTGGATTGGGCAAAATTTCAGAAGTGGGGAAGTGAAGGTGCCTTAATCGATCATTAAGATCTGATGAACATCAAAAATCCATCGTTGAGCTTTATGATAATTCTAACGCACTAAAGACAACTCGCATCCCGGTAAATCGGCCGCGTGGGACAAGCGCGATTTTGCGTGTGGCGCCCTCGTCCACTGTTCGCTATTTTTGAGGTATTTTGAGCATTTAAAAAATATTTCAATCATTTTCTAAGCTACTTCGTCCATGGTTGTATGATCTGTATGACCATAAGCATAAGCTGCAAAATAAATATGAGAAAATCTGGTAGGAAGCTGCGCATGCACGCACCACACCATCCTAGGCTAGGTGACAATGTGTAAGCATCTGACATTAATACTTTAGAATACTCGAGAGCAAAGAAGAAACAGGTTTCCCAGGACGAGCTTCGACGGAATTGCGCTGCCGAAGTAATGCCCATTTCTTGAGGGCTTCCTTGAAGATTTGCTACAAAATAAGGATGGTAGCACTGTCACAGAGTCCTTACTCTCGCTAAGCTGATCTGGGCTGCCTCATTATCTAATGGCTATCCTTGAGCGTTTCGGCCTGACAGGCAGAGTCGCTTGATACATATTATCAAAACAGGCCATTTGTGTCTAGAGTAGCTCTTAAAGAGTCCACATGCTCTTGTATCGAACAATCTATAGCGTGTGAAGGATAGAGTAGTCCGCGAGTATCACAGTTCTGCGCTTGTCGCGGCTCAAAAATGCAGGACAATAGCGCTAGGGCCTTACACGGTGGGCTAATGGCGGCCAATGTGAGCTAGATATGACGACGGATACTCGCGAAACCTCATGCACACCAATGGGACCACGACGGATTAGTGCGCGAATTTCAAATACCGAATCGGTGGGTAAGAATAAAGCAATTCATGATCTCGGCCGGATGCGCCACTCCCTGTATACTTTTAGAGGCAGTCTTTGGGGGATTCAGTAAAACGTAGAGGGGATTAATGGACTTTATAGCTTCAACTAATGCTGGGGCGCGGAATTAATGTCTTACAGTTTCTCGGCCGGATCGCGCTCCTTATACTTTTAGGGCAAGTTGTGGGGATTCAGTAAGCTTAGAGGGGCATTAAGGAGACTTATAGTTCAATACTGCTTGGTGGCGACGGATCTAACTTGTCTTACAGTTTCTGGGGTTAGAAAATACCAGTGACACGATCACGCTTTTTTACATGAGCAATCTGACCTATTCAAATGCTAGCTATTATGATTAGTCAAGGATACATGTTATTTATCGATGCTGATTTGCCCGACCTGGGTTAGAGCGATGAACACGATATTTAAGAGATTTCGTCCAATCCTTCAGTAGTTGAGATGAAGACGATTAATTGTGATGTCACGTACCGCTCTTCTTTTGCTCGTTAGGGATGATACACCTGATGAAATGTGGATGAGTCTGATTGAGCATGTGCATCAATTTATTCAAAGATTCACGATACATCATGGATACCGTCATGAACGATGCTGATTTGCCCTGAAAGTAGCGGACAAATGAAAATTGAAGAGCTACGCTCATTTGAACAAATTCGTTCTCTTAGATTGAAGCTCATCTTCTTTGGATCTGAACACTTAATCTTAACACATTGGCGACAATGTCGCCCGATGCCGGGCGACACCCCTTAAATTTTATTCCTCTGCGCATATTCCAAATTTTGAGCGGTGCTATATTAACCCGGAATACGTTGTCAAACTTGTAATGGCCACGTTCTTTGAACATCTTTCACAGTGAAAGTTTTAGAGAAGGGTTGCTTGGAATTGCTTCTTCAGTGATAAGGTTGTTCTTTCTTGATGTAGAAAGCTGCCTTTTTGTATGCTATTAGCTAGCTCAATGATACAACAATTGGCAAAAAAGAGATTCGTGTTCAACCTCATTTGTGGATTCTACAGTGGAAAATTGGAATTTTCCGAGAGCGTTCCGAAGTTTCACCTTTGCGGACGGGGAGATTTTTGCTTGGTTTGCAGCCATTAAGCATTTTGTACAATTGGTATGTACACCGTATAAGGTTTCAGCTTAGAGCATGCATTCTGGGAACACCCAAAAAACTGCGTCGGGCGGACATGTGTTAATTTATTTTTATTTGAGGCTTTTTCGATTTCGATAGGCACCGATTCTCTGCTTTTCCCTCCGCTCTCCTAGTTTTATAGTCTTTCAAATCTGAAATGGAATGGTAGATGCCTATATGTCAACTAATGTTGCCATAGAACACCAGAAGTTTTTGTCAAAATCTGCAAGAGTAGTGATTTGGTCGAGTCACAGCGGGATTAGGTATGGATTTATGCTCATATATCTCAGCAGGTCAGACACTTCTATGTCTGCGTTATCCGCGGTCATTCACGCTATGATGAAATGATTTGATCTGCTATCGAGACCTTGTGCTAACATCGACAAATGTTCGTGTCTTAAGGAATCTCCACGGACCATGGACCAGTGGGCGGGACCGGAAGTTTTTGTGACGAAATGCATGGTAGGTACGGATCCACGTGTCGAACGCACGAACGTGAACAGGATTCACTTCAAACCTTCCCATGAACGTGGATCCGTACCTACCATGCATTTCGTCGCAAAACCACTTCCGGTCCCGCCCACTGGTCCATGGTCCGTGGAAGATTCCTTTAATGGCACACACCCAGCTGTTGCTGTAGCAGCGTGATGGCGTCTAACCCTCAGATTCACTGAGCCGCTGCGATTTCGATCCATACTGACAGCACCTCCTTAAAGCGAGATACTACGATAAAGTGTGGAAGTACATGCACCAGTGGAAGCAGTAGTCAGGGGCCAAAGAAGCGAAATGTGGCGTTTTTGGCCAAAAGTGCGCTATCTGCAGCGTACTGGGCTTGCCATTCTTTTCTGGACTCCGCCACCGCCTTTGCTGCGCCGCCAGGAACATTATTATACATCTCCACTTCCACTATGAACCCAGTCCAAGTCTTATCGTAATCCCTCGCTTCAAAATCCTTTTCGAAAATAGGATTACCGTCTTCCTGTTACGGCATAACCCGTCGGGACTAGTGAAGGGATAGTTATAGACTTTACTTATCCGAAGCTTAATGGTAGTACACTCTCCGTGGGATCACACCAAAAACTTGATTCCCGTCCAGACTTCTGGGTATGTAGCACTACAATCTGTACAGCACTTGACCAGAACCCCTAAACAGAAGAAACATGCGATGTATTTTGCTCAGAGGTCTTTTCTAAACGTGCGTGATACAATTCGAATTTGGAAAGCTCATTATAAACCCCAGGTTTTCTAGGGTGTAAACCGCGAAACGATCGCCGCTTCCTTTCCTTTCTGTCGCTGAGCTTTTTACTATCCACCTTTACAAGTGATCTGTGTTTGTAACATTTTCGCGTACAACTTGAGCCGGGCAGATCAGATCACAAAGCAGATCACATGTACCGCCCAGTGTAAGTATAAGTAAAACTGAGGCGTAATCATAGCTGTTAGAATTTGGAGATAATCTAATCATACCTTCTTCTTGCCTGGTACAGCCTTCTTGCCAAGACTCGCGATATCATCTTGTGTGTTATAGTCCGCCCACAGTTCAGCCATCAGCTGATTTTGGGTGTTAGCTTTCAGCACTGATACGGCAGTGTCATTCAGAGGGTCCTAAATTGGAGTCATTCGCACCAAATTTCTTTGCACACTGTTTTTTTAAATTCATTCTTAAGGCTCAGTATATTCACACTGGACTCACCACAACCAGTATAGTGCTTGGAAAAACCTTGCAATTACTAATAATTACCTTGTTTTTCTCTAGCCATCCTTTCACGTTATAG